AAAGATCCCCAGTATTTCAGACGGCAGGCAGCGCTGCTGCTGTGACTCTAGATGATCCGTGGTATGTAGTACTAAATACTATATAAATAGAGATAGGTCGATTAGTAGGTCGATTAGTAGATCGATTAACAGTCGATTAGTAGTTAGCTAGCAGGTTAATTAGTAGTTTGATGGCTAGTAACGGTTAATTAAAATTTCGTTAGTAGTTTAATTAGTAGTTAAACTAGTAGCTTAACTAGTAGTTTAATTAGTCGTTTTATTAGTAATTTTATAAATAGCTTGATTAACTATTTAATTAATAGTTTAATTAGCAGTTCGATTACTAGTTTTAGTTTAACAAAAATTTTAATTAGTATTTTATTAGTAGTTTCTTTAATAGTTTTATTAGTAGTTTTATTAATAGTTTTATTAGTAGTTTTGTTAATAGTTTTGTTTCTAGTTTAGTTAGTAGTCTTAGTACTTTAATTAGTAGTCCTATTTATAGGTTAGCTTATAGTCTTAGTAGTTTTAATTAGTAGTCTTATTAACAGTTTTATTAGCAGTTTTATTAATAGTCCTATTAGTAGTTTTACTAACTATTTTACTATTAGTGCCATTTGAGTTATTAGTTTTATTATTAGTTTTATTATTAGTTCTTTTATTAGGTTCACTAATAGTTTAGCTAATAGTTTATCTAATAGTCTATCTAACAGTTTACCTAATAGTTTAATTAATAGGTTTGTTAATAGTTTTCTTAATACCTAGTCCTACTAGTAGCTGCCTACTAGTAGCCCTACTAATAGTCTAATAGTCTAAAGTTACTAGTAGCTCTACAGCCTCTATGTTAGGACTAAAGAGGTTATACGTAATTAGTATGTAACCGGGCTCGAGTAAAGCTAGGGTCTTAATGCCTTAGGTAGGGCTTAGCGCTTAGCAATAGGCTAACTTGCCTGCCTTCCTCCCTCTCCTCCTAGCTCCTTATCGAATACTACCTATACCTACTACTACCCTATCTACCTACTAATATACCCTTCTTATATAGTATTCGATCTACCCTTTAAGGGCAGCAGCTAGATAGTCCTTATTTCAAGCTTTTAGCGGTATAGCTACGGAAACTATCGACCTAACTATATTACGCCCGAAGGACGGGACCTATACGTACTATTCTACTAAGAACAACCGTACTAATTATCAAGCAAGGCCTTCTATACGGCCTATTATACTAAGTTAAGCACATTAGACCGATACTCGCTAATTCCGCTATATCCGTACTATAGGGGCCTATAATACATTATTAGTGCTACCCCTTATTACAATAGCCGGCTCGTTACGAAACAACAACCGTGCTGCCGCTAGCAGCGCTAGTAACGACAATGCTAGTAGCATAGTACCTACTAAAGTGCCTACTAAAGCACCTACTAAAGTGCCTCCTACTAAAGAGCCTACTACTAGGCCTGCCGAAGAACCTATAATTCTAGGTAACGACTTAGAGTTGCCTATTAACGATATTCTTAACAACATTGTTAATCGACGATATAGCTAACTAGCCTTTAGCCCTTAACTATTAGGGAGACTTTAAGAAGCTACCTAAAACAGGCTTACTGCCCTATATTAAGAATAGTAGCTAAAGGATAACCTCCTCGAGCTCCGTCGCCTTTAGGAAGCCCTAACGACTACTACTAAACCTATAGTAGGACCTTCTTTACTACCTATCTAAAAGAAGGATGCTAAACTTAAGGACTGTACTGTATTTAACGGCTCTAGTCGCAAGCAGTATAATAATTATATACGCGATTGTAAGCTTAACTAGCGAAATATACCGAGGGCCCTTCTAGACGACTATTTACTAGTCGTCTATGCGATACAGTATATTAATAGCGACCTAAAACGTACCTAGGATAACTATTTTGATTCCCTCGATAATTAGACCGCTATTTAGTAGCAAACCTACAAAACTATTATACTAGACACCCTTAGAAACCCTATACTAAGGCAATAATATACTTAGGATCTATATCTTCGAGCTAAATAAAAGACTAATTAATCGGCTCGTTTATTCGAGGCCTATTTAAAGACCCTCGAGGATAACCTTCCGCCTAAGACTAATTCTATATAGATCTCCGAGATACGCCTAAAACTTAGGTAGGAGCTTATCCTCGAATTAGACCGTCGCCGCGTGTTCGAATAAGCTAATCTAATACGCATTTAATTTATAGTCGAAGTAGAAACAGCCGAACGGGCTGTTTAGCTCTAATAGCGACTAGAATTAAGAATCCGACTAGCTAGTACTAACCGTAGCAACCGTAGTAGCCGCGGAGGAAACTAAGGTTCCTACTAAGACAACAATGCTAATAGTAGGAATAGTAACAACGACCGTAGAAGGGGCCGTAGCCGGCGACTATATAGAGGAGGCCGTAATAGGGGCTGTAGAAGGGGCTCGTATCCTTATAATACTAACCGCTCTACTAACAATAACAATAGCTACGGTAGTCTACTAACCGGATTGAAGTGCTTTAATTGTAATAGCACTAGCTATCTACTAGGCTAATGCGACAAACCTAAGGACTAGGCCCGAATTAACCGTACTTCCGCTAAATACCGAAAGCACCTCTTAGCGGCTAACGCTACCCCTATAGGCTAACCTTCGAAAAAAGAGTAAGCGCCGCACTAACTATTAGCCTCGTACGGCGTAAGACTATCGATATTGTGCTAGCTATAACACGCTCCTACCTTGTATAGGATACGAAGGGCACTAACTATTAAACTAAGGTTATACTAGATCTAGGAAATTCAGTTAGTGCCCTTA